AAAAGACGCAATGAGCACATGTATAGGTCTTTTATAGGATATAACAAAATATATTAGATCCTAGGTCTGTTTAAAAGTATACTTCTTAGAAAACCCGAACTCCCTTTCCAGGATGGGAATCTACTGACTTGTCATATGAGAAAAGCGTAAGTTTAAACCGAGGCTTGTGGCGGAAAGAGAGTGACCTGCATATTATGATGCAAATCAGGTGAGCATTTCGGTGAGAGGTGTTCAGATAAGACCAAGGACAGTGAAGACGGAGAATGAAGGGGTCGCATGCCATATTTGCTACAATATCTACACGCAGGCTGAAGAAATCGGCATTGAAAACGCCAACTCGCTGCCGTAAGTACTATATAGTTGATTTAAAACAAGCTTTGCTCTTTTTTTGTACTGCCGATGTTTGACCAAAATGATTAGTTTCACGCTTTAGACATCATGACCACGGGGACATTTTCCTGGCATGAACGATAGTTCCCCTTGAAGTAAACATGAGTTTGGAGTTAAAATATTCTATTGTTTTTCAAGAGAGAACGCACCTGCCAATAAATAAGCTCACGTCTCACGTAATAAGCAATGTAAGACGACAAGGCAGGTTGCAATACTAGCAGTTCCTTAGAGACATTTTTCACTTTGTTGATGCACTGATAAAGGTGATTGATACAATGATTCATTTACTGTAAATAAAAGTTGAATAGTATATGTAGTAATGAGCACAGCCCCTCCCTTAGCTTCCGAGGCACTCTCCCCAAATCAAACGAAAAATACCAAACCAAATGATATATTTTTTATCCAAGTGCCCTACATATTACAGTAAAAATGACCTTCTTTTACCGCTTCATAACTTGTCAAAATGAAGTAAAACCGGCGTCTTTATCCTGGTGCTGCACTTTATCCCCTAACCTTCAGCAAAATCTGCCGGTGAAAATGTGTCGTGATTACATAGTTTTAAATATTCCTAAAATCTTGTAAATTTATTTAAACTAGACCCTTCTGTCAAATAATTTATTTATCATTAATTGAATGTCATTCCTATGAATATCTGCTTAACATATTTTTGTAGCTCTCCTTTCGTATGAATATTTTGTCGTGCAACTGTGTACCGGACAAAATAGGTATTGTTGTAAAGCTTGTGATTGCATTGAACACATCGGTTTAATGTACGAATTCGCATGGTTTGAAATATGAATTCCGATTTCTTTAATATCATGTCGCATATCGAAAAACGTTTCTATAGTGATCATTTAAGTAACTTTTTAAAATCAAATCTTTGGCATCGTTTCATGAAAGTAAATTATAACATTTGATTTCAGTGACTCTTATTACCGTTTACGAAGAAATTGGCTGCGTTTCCCATCAAAGACAGCAGAACGTGTTCGACAACACCGCACCAATGCCAGGATTATCTCGTTTGTGTAGGTAAGCTTTGTGATTAATTATAATTGCCAGGTTTGACGTTGGACTATGGTGTGTTAATATTCTGCATCAAAACTTGTATCAAATAGAAATGAAACATTTGAACAGAAAAAGAAAAGAAATGTGCCCAGTGCCATGTAAGCAAGACACCAAAAAAGTTTTCACAAATTTTGACGAAGCTTTCAAGATCGGCAGTAATTTACGAGGAAAAATTGATTTCCTTTTCAATCTAATCAGTTATCCCCCATTTAGATACTTCTGTTTATGATTTGATTAAAATTTACATATCCTCCTGACGGACGAATGCACTAGCCGGGTACTCTCTAGTTATATGTTCACTCTTTTCAGATCAGAATTTTGATATACCATGGCAACTTCGACGACAGCATTTTTCCTGTGGCTAGCTGAGCCTAACCTTTGTACACGTAAGTCATTTAGTTATAACCACCCTCTCCTCTGTGGTAAATTATACCTTACTCGCATTCTATAGCTGAGAGCTTGTTGGTTTAGTAAAAAATTCTCAAACAATATTTTCTCATTTCAGAAGCCAACCGAGATACTGCACAGCATGCGTCTGCAAGCAACCGAGCCTTCAGTTCGCACTCAGGAACCCTAGTCCCATACATCAAAATTGAATAAAATATTTCTCTGTGGTTTCTCATTTTGATTATAGTAAAAAAAGGGTGTGTGTGTGTGTGTGTAAGATTACATAAATATAACCGTTTCAGCACTTACAAATTAAATCGGATCAATATAAGTCTTTGGGATTAACGATTTGCCAACGTACAATCATAAAAATGAAATGATTAAAATGCTTTCTAAATGTGCTTAGTATTGAATTGATTAAAAAAAATTGAGCATTTTAGATTTTCAACCCCTTGGCATAATGTAAAATATTTTGATGTATGGAATTTGATTGACCACGAGTCTTTCAATTCCCGTTTTCGGCACAGTCTAAAAGTTGATCTTTAAAATGTATCTTCAATTTTATCGTGTATTTGCTGACCAATTTTAAAGTCCACTTGGTCTTAAATGTGCAAAAATAATGAAGTTATTAATTAAATAAAGGTATACTATCCGCGATTAAAAATGCCCCTAAGCCCTATTACATGACCATATTTCTTGCATAATTCAATCATTGCATAATTCGGCATAATTCTGTTATAATTCATAATTCTATAATAATTCGTAGAATAAAATTAATTCGTAGAATAACTTAATTTTAAGCCAATTATCCAATCTTTCTCTGCCTGTAAAATTTATTATTCATCCTCTTCCTAATATTTCTAGCGTAATAGCTTTAGGATTGACGCATGTTTCTTTGGATATCTTAGCTTTCATTTACATTCTAGGATAGTTTCATTTTCATCATCATTGTTATGTTTGTTTGTTTGATTCCAATTTTTCATAGCATTTTCATTGTTAATGGCAAAATTCACTGGATTTCTACGTCTTTTTGTGATGACCGTTTTCGAGAATATTTTCTATTTTTTCTACTTTATTTAATGTATTCTGTAAATTTTACACGAGATAAAGTTTAATGAATTTGTACTGAGAAGAGTTTATGTATATTCTCAAATATTTGAAAATAAAGTAGAAAATAAATTTTGTTTTTGAAGTAATGATGCACCAAACGTTACATAAATAATGTGCATGCCTACCTATCACCCCTCAATTTGAAATGGACTCGCCCCACCTTTCACCCCTCAAGTTGGAATGGACTCGCTCCACCTGTCACCCCTCAAATGGAATGGACTCGCCCCACCTGTCACCCCTCATGTTGAAATGGACTCGCCCCACCTTACACCCCTCAAGTTGAAATGGACTCGCCCCACCTGTCACCCCTCAAATGAAATGGACTCTCCCCACCTGTCACCCCTCAAGTTGAAATGGACTCGCCCCACCTGTCACCCCTCAA